TCCTGGATTCCTAGTCAAAAATGAATTCTTTCGTAATATCTTCAGGAACACTTTTGACCATCCCACTCTGTACAAGTCCCCTAAAGTATAGTGATCTGGCTTCTGTAGCATGTTATTCTCCAGCTCCCAGTCAGTACTACACAGAACAATATTGCTAGGCACAAAGCCATCAGTCTTTAGAAAATGCCGAATAGTACAGAATACTGCACTGTGTTTCCCCAGCAACACGGACTCCAGCAAGCACTTTAATGCTGCACTTCACTCTCTTTGATAGCTTCCCATATAAAAAGAAGCAAGATCCAAAGGTATTTTAGGTACCTAAATACCACGGCACGTGAACTTCAGGTCTCAACCTAAAGGAACTTGATAGTTTCAGCCCAAGCTATACAAAAAGATCATCGAGTGTTCCCGAAAAAGGAATGTGATCAGTGCTGCGGCTCTTCATACACATTTTCCTCCAGAAGGGAATGGCTCACGTACAAAGGAAAGAGGGCCAACTTCAGAAGCTAAGGACACCATAAACTTTCCTGCCTTCCATTCCAAGAGTAAAGTGTGCTTATTTTGCATACCTTTGCATGCTTTTCTCATACAAATACAATACAGTATTTACATATTAAAAGAAAGACTCTGTTCAGCTTTACTCTGGGATGAAGATGAAAACAATCAAGCTCTGCAGCAGATGTCAATCGTATTACTAAATTGACTGATGACATTCTCAGATAGTTTAGTAATAAGTTTACTGTGGCAATATCAAGGAAAAGAGAGTTATAGAAATGCTCAAAATGCTTAATTAGCTTCACATGACTCCTGCCTTGGTAAGTGCTTTTCAAAAATTCAGTTCCATCACACTGTTTACCAGTGGCAGTCAGATGAGGCACTTAACACACGCACACACCACACACACAAGTATCAGATGCCACTAAAATTACGGAATGCAGTGATCTTCATTTCTTGTATATGCATTTAAATTCAGTATTCAGTGACTCAGAGAACAGGGCTCTTTGTGGGTTACTTAACACCTACGTTTACCATTAATTGTGTTGTTCTCTGCACTGCAGCTGATTGCAGTATCTAACCACTGTCAGTTATTTATCATTGTAATAACTGTAGTATGCACAGTGGTTGGCTAAAAGCACTCAGCCAAAGTCCACAGTCACTGATTATTTTCTACTCACTGTATAAGATGTGAAAAAAAATCTCTCTTCATCCTTCTCTACGTGGCTTCCATATCTAAAGCGTGCCTTTAACAAACATTCTATTTCTGTTTCCTGTACCATTCAGCTGAAACACAAAAAACGTGCGTATGAAAAAGAAGAAAGAAGTAAATAAAATAGCTTTGACAACCTTTGAAAAGAGAAATGGTTTTAAGAAAAGCATGAAAGTTCAGCTCTGACTCTCTTCCCACCTTCTTTGGGTCTGGATGCTGTCTCCATTTAAGTCAACAGGATTTTTGCCATCATCTTCAGTGGCACAGTTAGGCCCTTCCTCCTCTGACAGCTTCTATCCCACCTAATTCAACATACCAGCAAGACTCTTGTTACCATGGCAATGTGATTTATTTCTTGATTACAGACTCACTGGGTCAGGGCTCTTCTGGTATTTCCCTTGAAAAGCCAGAGTTAGCAACAGCTCCATCTCCTTTCTGAACCCTAAATGTGTTAAGATTGCCTTAAAAGGGAAGAATCTGCTGGCAGAACTGTACCTGTGAAGGACCTCACATTTTATAAGCCTCTTATTTGACATCTGTGGATCTTGAGAATCATTCAAAAAGCCACTCCACTGTTCTGAGACAGATAAAAGGGTCCTAATGGTAACACCGTTATAGTTGCCAACGTTTAAAAAAACCTTCTCTAACTAAAAACTATTTAAACTAGTCTCTCTCAGAACTTACAATACCATGGAAGTACAATGCCTGCACACAGTAGGGCTATAATGTAACAAATGTCTAGATTTTTTTTGTCAAGTGCTTTGCTTGAACTATTTTTTTTCCTATGCTGCAGTAGGTTTGTGATTCTTGAAAAGATACTCTGTCAGACCAAACAGGTAACATGGCAGGAAAGGAAAAAATTAGCAAGGAATAAGTAGGAGAATGTAAGGAAAGGACAGAAAGGGAAAGGCCACGAAAAGAAAAAGGGAGAGAGGGCAGCAGGAAGGCAGGCATTCTGAAGTTCGTTTGATTTGGTTTAGTTTTCAGTAAATTTAGAATTTGTTCCCTTTGTTACAGTTTCTTCACTCTTAAAACGGAGCGATTTTCTTAATGTACGCAAGGAGGAACACTCCAGGCAAATCTCTCCTTAGTTGTATCTCAATCACTTCCTTAGCCTTCCTCCTGTGAGTTTAACATCCAGTAAGAGTGTTAACCATTAAAAACAGACACCCTCAGGATATCTTGACTACAGTTTGTGAAATAGTTTAATACTTTGGATTGATTCCAGATACTTATATTGCTGTGCTCATTAATGCAAATTAATAATTGATCATGCATTTTACCAGTAACAACAGCAGTGTACTGTATTACCAAAAAAAAAAAAAAACACTAAAAAATCATAGTAGCTAGCAATATTGAAAGAACTACCATAAAAAAAAAAAAAGAAAAACCCTTTACCTCTATTGTATTGCACAATAGTTCCTCCCTTCTTTCCAACATGGAAAGGCCCGTATACTGTTTTAGATTCTACATCAACACAGAACCTGTTGTATCACATACATCAGTATATTCATCCATCTAGCCCTGAGACCAAGTCATCTCAAAGGACTCCATAGCCACCTACAGACATCCCATTATCACTAATGAAAAGCAGCGAGCTGTAGGAAAAACATTAAAAAATGTAGCCAAAAAATGAGTGTCTCAACAACCATGAGGCAATATTCGCCGACCATCACCCTTCCCCACCCTCCTGCAATGGGAGATGTAGGGAGATGAGGAAATGCTATGCATACATGTGTGGTCTCAGAAGGGTAAGGTATATTCTGCACTGAAAAATACGCAGGACATATTAATTTCACTCAGGACAGGGGAAGGTCTGGACAGATTCACACAGAAAAGAATGAGAACCACAGGCAAGATTATCTGGGGAACATTCAATTAACATAACCTTGACTTTTTAAAACAAGTGCAACTCATCTCAGGGAGTTCACCATCTTAGTTTTTGGTCCCTAGCAGAATGTTAATATCAGTACATAAAAATTCAGATTTTAGGTGGCATTCAGAAAACTAAAGTGTAAAAGCTTGCCTGATTCCTTCCTGCTGATGAACACTAAGACTCAGGAGTTCAGCAAAGCAAGATTTAGCCTAAGCGTTTCACAGTATTAAACCATTAGAAGAATAAATCACAACACTGCATTGTGTGTTAAAATTTTCTTATAATTAAAAAAAATTGTGTATTATGCCTTAAAATATACATTTAGGTGTCTGAAAGGAACACTGGGAGTGTAGAGAGGAGAAAAATTAATGTGTCACCACACATTGCAGTACAAAGACTGTGCTGATGCTTTCAAATGTACATTTAAACAAATGCAAAGGAAGTATTTAACACGTACAAGTGCAAGGTTTGGAATCAATGACTGACTTTCTTAATTGTTAAAAAAATTATTTTTTTTTTCTCTTACAGTAACATAGCTGTAACAGATCTGATGAAAAAGCAGTCTGGGAATCATGGGGGAAAAAAAGGTAAAAGGAGGGAACAGAAAAAGATGGCCTTACACAAGACCTGCGCAGCCTAGGCAGAAAAATTTCACAGTATGCCTGTATAGAGCGACATCTAACAATAACGAACACCATCAGATTGAATCAAGATCTTGGCCACCCCCCAATCCACAGAGCTGTTTATTATTACCAATATTCTCTGTAGAACATTAGTATTTCCAAGCAGCTCCAATATCCTGATCACAAGGAAAAAAACTCCAGAGAACTATTGCACCTCCTCTTATCCTAACTCCAAGGGTTACAGCTTCTTCTTTGAAGACAGGAAAAAAAAAAAAAAAAGGTAAGATAAAGAGATTAAAGCAAATTCACCCAAGTTTTCTTTGGGACCTCAGGGCAGTAGGGTTTTACTGGCTCACGCATGTTAGTGAGACCATGCTTACGTATATGCTTATCTTGAGGCCATGTAATAAACTCTATTCTTTTTTTTGCTTTTTCATAAATTTTGTCATCCTAAGGCAAACTTTCTCAACACTTCTGGTTTTTAATACTTTTTTTTTTTTTTTTTTATTTCTAGGGTTTCCTTCTTCATATAGCATTCAAGTTATGCCTAGGACTTAAAAGCCGATTGACTATTAGCAAAGAAGTATTTGTCGGATTTAAGCTTTTCATCCAAATTAATGTTGATTATTTCTTCCACTATAGGCCATCTAGTGGTTTAGCTGTGCAAATTAGAGTCACAGGCTCTTTGTGCATCTTCTGTGAATTTACTGCGCAGTCTCATTGGAATAAATGACCTCAGTCAATGCGGAGTGAAATGTTCCAGTTTCACTCATTTGCTGTGACAAAGTACCACCCAGAACATAGTTGACTTGCACTGTAGAAAAAGTAAACAGATCAGGAGCATTTACCTCAAATCTTGTAAGTTTACTTACAACTAGATTTGTACAGGTGTAAGAGACTGGAGAAGGCAAGGGGAGAAAAACAAAAAAACAACAAAAAAGGATGCCCACGACCCAAAATGACTTAATGATCCATTTTGTACGTAGTATTTTGTTTCATTCTTCCAGTCTTGAGGTTGAAAGTGTCGCTGCATTATTTCAGCAGAAACTTTGGCAGTTTTTTTCCAGTTCTTACAGTTACATGTAATTAATCTCCATGTATCTTAAAATTTACCAATTTTGCATTTTGGTAAACAGCTTACTGTTTTGTCAGCAAAAGACTGACCTATATTAACAGTAGGAAGATGTTAGGTTTCACATTCCTGTAATAAAAGCAAGCAAACTAAATCTGTATCAGGACTTCAGAATACTTTTTTTTTTTTTTTAAAGTATACTTGAAGGGGGCAGTAAGCAGCAAAATTTGCTCAAAAATTCAAAAACTTTGCTTCAAAAAATCCAGAAGCGCGCGCACACACAAACTGTGGCGGAGTGTTAGACCCTTTGACCTATGCCTATTACCTACCACCACTTAGAAAACATTCTGAAGTCATTGCAGTTTGCTAATAAAAACATCCTGCAGGTCTACTAAGTTGTTGCTCAATCCTCATTTTTCAAAACGTCCTGGATAAAAAACAGTTTTTAAATGTGCTTTAAACTCATTCCTAACCCTCAGCCTGGTGTGATAGACAGAGATATTCTTTTCCATAAGGGACCAATAATGAAGGAAGAACCACACCCACACCTATGTGCCACTTAAATGGTTCAAGTCTGTCATCTGGAGAACTTGATGAACAATACGTGAGAGAGTTAACTTTCTAGGAATCTTGATTCTAGTGGAAATTATAGTCCAACAGGCTTTCTCCTGAAAGCACAAGTGGATAACATATCACGCTATCAAATGAGGGAAAATTTATCTGCCAACTCATCTCTACTTAATAGAAAAAGAATATATATTTACTCCAGCAAAATAACTACAGTTTTAAACCAGATTAGGGACGTTATTGCCACAACCACTACAACCTAAGTATTTCTCTGCAGGTTAAAAAAATGCATACCTAAATTACTGTCATGAACAATGAGATGATTCCTGGAAGACGTGGTTACAACAGATGATAGTTGGGGAAGTTGCCTCCAAATGTCTAGCAAACGCACTAGAAGACATTTGTGTTGTTTGCGGGAGGATAAGCTAGAACATTCTGCAGTTCTACCACCAGAATCCTGCAAGGAGAGATCCCCTATAAATCAACAAGAGTGACTACAGGAGCCTTCCATCTGTCATAAATCAAGAGTTATGGTGCAAATTTATCTACAGTGTAAATACCTTGCAGAGGTGGTGGTGGTGGTGGGGACAAGAAAGAGTATCGCATATTGCAACAGGGGTCTCAAAACAGTTGTTCCTATTAGTATAAAATAATAAAACATAAACAACAAATACGCAGAGAAACTGAGACAGCGGCAAACACAACAGGATTACTTTTCCCAATAGCCCACTATCAAAGTATCTGGAGAAACACTTAGACACTTAACTCATTCAATCGCTGTTCCCCCCCCATAACAAAAACTATGAAAATCAACACCTTACGCAGAGCATACGAATGCAAAGTAATACAGTTACAAAACGTCTAGACCATATTTAAATGATATAGCACCACATTTGCATCATAGATTTTTTTTTAAGCTTTGCACTGCTTAAATTTAATCTGAATTACCAACTTTTGGAGCATCCAGCTCGCAAGATAAGCATTTTCCAGAATAAACTGCAAACATGCCATGAAATTTCCTTCTTCGGTGCTCTCAGGTTGAAAGGCTTTCTACTCATCATGCTAGGCACCAAGGATTAAAACATCAAATGCAAATAGTTGTATTAAAAATTCTATATTGTGTCAAATAAAACAATAATTCTGCATACAAATTTATATATGATAAAAATAAAACTCTTCTTGAACAACACTGTGTAAAAAAAGTGCTTGCTGCTGTTCCGATTTAAAAATTCTGTAAGCAATAGGCTCACCAAGGGCATCAGTAAACACTTAACTGCATTGAAGGAATAATGTAAGGCACAGATATCAGTTATTTAAAGGTAAAAATAAATATTAGTCCCATACAGCTTTCAGAACTGTTGGCAGGTTACCATTTCATATTATCTGAAAACTTCAAACGTAGGTAACTGACTAATATGTTAAAATTACGTATCAAGGAAAAGCAGGGGGAAAACTTGCCATCATGATTGGGCCTCTGTTTAACATTTCCAGAAAGCTGGTTTGGAATAATTTCTGTAATGACATAACTAGCCACTGAGCAGCATCTTAGTTGTTGTCCCCTCCTTCTCCTCAAAATTTTTGTTAGATAAAGATCCTAGGGAAACTAGCTAAGAGTTATAGACAGCATATAATCCGACAATGAATGACTAATAGGGCCTTAAGTTCTAAACTAATAACTGTGGAACAGATGCGCGCACCTGCTCACACAGTTACTTCAAAAGAGGTCTTACATTCTAAACATTCCAAATTATTCTTAACTTCTTTTTCAATTGGCATTTGTGAAATCATTACTAGCGCAGCATAACACTGGAGCTTTGGAAGTGAGAAACAGAAACCAATTTAAATGTTTAGTTCAGGTACAAATCTAACACAAAAAAAAATACTCCCCCTCCACATTTTTTGCCATAAAACATTTCTGATTTTACACAAATAAAATATTCTTAAAAGCACCAGGCTTAGGATTTCCAGTGGCATCCTAAGTACTACAGAGTTTAGCAAGAAAGCGTAACGGTTTATACATTTGCTATCCTTGCTTCTTCTACTCGATCCTTTTTACACATGAACTTAAGTAGCTTCGTTTTGAATTTTGACTGCACTAGCATATGCAGCAGGCTAAGACTGACATTACAGATTTTATTTCTGATCAATGATATCAGCATAATTACCGACAAGGATGATCGAAGATTAGAAGCTATACTACATTTAGAGTCAATTTAAGCTCTTTTGTCCTTAAACTGAAAGATTTTAGGCACTTAATTTTGGTTATTTTAACCATGTCTGAGTTGCCTCACTGTGATTCATTATATTATTAAAAAACAAAATCAAAATAACACCCCTCTGTCACGTGATCTTTTTGCATTTGGACACCAGCTCTGGATTTAAATTCTAGAGCTGATGTATCATCTCAAAGCAGAACCATGATTTACTGAGCATACAGAAAAATCTCTGAATGCACTGACTGGACTGTATACATAGGTAAGGTCAGAGACGTGAGTTATCTGTCAGGACTGCCACTGTGGCCAGCTAATTGTTTTCTTCCGCTGGATCACCAATTCTACTCTTTTAAGAGCGTACTGGAAGAATCCTAACAGAATTAGGGATATTAACTCCGGGCCCAAATACCTGCAATACTCGGTTTCAGTCATCATCTTTACAAAGCAGTTGTTAGAGTAATTTGAAATGACTGTATTAGAGATTTCTACCTAACAAGGATACTGGCTCCTTTAAGGAAATAATGTTAAATTCAATGTAAATAAATAAAAGCCACCACACCATTACAGCTATGATTTTAACACACAAGTCAGAAAACTCAAAGCTGTAGTTTCTAGTGCAACTACAGCATCATTATATCACGCACGCTATGGCAACACAATAAACGTTATATACAGTAGGAAAACGCTACATATTCATGCGTTGTTGCCAAGCTACAGCTGCCATAGGAACCATAACTTATTTTTTCTGACTTGTTTAGAATCCTAACTGCTTTAACGGTGAAAAATTAAGATAAACTTGTATATTCCATGTTACTTGTGTATTAAACTTGCGTATTCCACATTACTTACTTTTGCTGGAAAAAGTCTATTCAATGAGAACACAAGAATCCTACACTGACATCTATATATAACCTAGGCTGTTAGTCGCGACACGTGCTTTGTAAGCTACTTTTCAGCATGACCTCGACAAGCCGTCTCTCGTGATGTGGGTTACCGTTCCAAAAAGCAGCAAAATTTTGTTGTGCAAACAACTAGGAGAAAAAAAAATGAATTAAGTTAGGCTGGGAAGGAGTTCAACACTATTTTAAACAATTCAGCTTCCAGTATGCAGTGACCAAAGATGAACGTCCAAAAGTGCAGGGACACAAACCTATCAGCATTTGTAACCAACAACATGTGAGTAACGTTTGTTGGATCCAGTCAAAAACAACAACAAATAAAAGTAAAATCATTGCTGTGTCATGAGTTAAAAGATCCAAAATTAAGGGAATATCATTTTAAACAGAAGTAATCGGTAAATATTATGCCCTCCCTGATAAAAGTCCCAGCAGATTTAAAACATCCTGTCAAAATGTTGTCCCTAAGCCGCTTTGGTTACAAATGGCTGTTCACAGATTTTGTTTCATTTTGCAGAATTTTCTCTGTTCAAGTGACTGAATCCTTCTTCCTTCTAAATGGTGACTTTAGTCTTTTCCACACGCTGCTTTTAGGTTTGGATTTTTTTTCCATTGCCATTACTGCTTCTTTTTCTTTCCTACGGATTTCTCGCACAAGAGCATGAAATACATCATCAATATAGTAACGGTATGCAGCTGAAGTTTCAAAAAAAGGGCAGTTGAATTCTCGTGCTAAAGCAGAGCCTTCTTCTTTGGAGACCTTAAAAAAAAAGTTCATATTTGTTAACAAAGCCAAAAAACCCAAAGTCTATTTCTTTACCTTTTCTTGTCCTGCTTACTTCATAATTGTGCGTGCAGCCTCCCAGTCCCAGAACAGCTCGGTTCCACTGATCTCTAAATCTTTCTCTACAAATCCATTTTTCTTGTTCCTTCACTCACCACTTCTCTAGAAACGCAATCAACTATGAGAGATTCTCTGAACAGGGCAGCTCTGGTCATTTATGAAACAACAACATCCGTTCAAAGAACATCACTTCCTTGGAGCTTAATCTAGAGGTTGCTTAATTTGAGCAGCCCTCAGCCCTAACACAAGCAGTTGTCAGTCAGTTCAATTCAGGGTTTCCTTCTGCTGGCCAGCACCCAATGCTTTTGTCAAATACTTCTTCCCAGAACTGAGCAAATGCTTTCCAAGGAAAGAGTTTTACGTAAGTCATGCAAAAGCACTGACTACCCATTCTACACACTAAACCTCTTAGCGTGGGTGTTCTACTGTAACTACTGTAATTTTCCTGCTGCTATGCACGCTGAAAACTCACTTAATTCCAGGTATACAAACACTACCTCTAGAACTTGTTTTCCAGATTACTTTTCCTTCCAGTGAAGCTCTGCTTCAGACTGTGTTTTCTCCACAGACAGTATTTACTGTTTCCTTAAGCTGAAACTCATTTTCCTTTCTGCCCCTTCTTATTGGAGTTCCTCATTATTACCCCCCCTCTATTCTTAGCATACTTGCATCTATTTCATTTGTACTACTATTTGCAAGTGGCTTATGGGATGCTAAATCTTTATTAGACACTATTGCCTTTCAGGAATTATTAAACAAACAAACAAAAAACTAATAGCAATGGAAAACTAAGGTATCAAGTAGAGGACCTTACTTTTGCAATTACTACATGTATTTGCTCATTCAACACGTCCCAGATTCAACAAGTACTTTTACTAAATTAAGTTTACTACATAGCAAGCATACACAATTTAAGAAAGGGAACATCACCTCTTTTATTACTGTATTTTTGTGCCATTTACCTGCCGCAGCTGTGTCAGATCAGATTTATTTCCCACCAGGACCACAGGAGTGTCATCAGTACGCCGAACACGATAAATAAGCTGTTTGAACTCACGTACTTCATGGAAACTGCGTCGGTCGGTGATCGAGTAACAGATGATAAATCCCTCACCAGCCCTCATGTACTGGTCTCTCATGGCTGTAAACTCTGCCTAGAAACAGACGATTACGTTTCAGTTGCACAAATACAATGACTTCTAATTCGCTCACATCAGAGGAAACATTCCAAAGCATTCCAAAATAGCTGGACAGAAACTTTGCAAATAAGCTGGTTATCTGTCTTCTTGTCCTGCTACATATGAGACAAGATATTATGCACATTTGGGATTAATGCTCAGTTTCCCTTGCTACAGGAATCACTTAAAAATGTCATTTATCAGGCAACATATATGGTTTGTAGAGCATGAATGGCAAAGATACAATGAAGAAAGCAAGATATGAAACAAGGATACCATTTGGACTACCTAGATATAGACAGTATGATGCAGACGCTATAAACAATGGGATACATGCAAGAAAAAAAGAAAGCTCATAAAATCAATCATACTGCATCACAAGCATACTGTTACAAGGTCTCTATGTATGGCCACTACAGACTTCTAAAACCCTCCCAATTCACTTCTTATTAGTCACATACCTGTCCTGCTGTGTCCAAGATATCCAGATTTGCAGGTTCATCATCAATGCGTATTCGTATTTTATAAGCGTCCTCTTTGAATTCACAATACATTAGGAAGAACAAAGTTGGAATACAATTGCAGTCCTCATTAGTCATGAATACAGGAAAAGTGTTACACAAAAAGGACTTCGTCAGGTAATATTACTACACTAAATTAGCCCGCTCTACACGTACAACAAAACAAAATATAACTGCTCAAGTATTATTTAGTATCCCACCCAGCTGCGTGCTAAAATTATTGCACCTGCTACTTCTGATAGGCAAGTGAAAACATCCTTTAAGTTCAATCTTGCACACCTTTGTGGAAAGCACAAGGTAGGAGCATTGCATTTTTCTCAAAGCCAGAAAATACCCACTGACTCAATAAAAGAATTATAATGGCCACCACCACCAACTGCCACTTTCTTAGAAGTGACACAATTTTCTGTTCCTCTAAACCAGTATTCTCACACTGAAACAGTCTGCTTTCAACAAGAATTTAGCTATTTTTCCTGCTTTTCCTTTGAAAGAGTAATTGTTGGCTAAGGTTTCTTTTAGAGATGCTGAAGAAACCAGTCACAGAAGATATGCAGCAATACAGTAAGCAGCTGAGCGTTTTCATCCCTTCCAAGTTAACTGGAAGTTTCTCAAACGCAGAGCACACTTTGGCCTGACAAACGCGGGGAATAGCAGAGAACTGACCTACGTTATGGAGACTTGATTTCTTGAATAGACTGCCAGCAATTACCTATCAGCAGTTTTTTTTTTTTTTATCCTTGTCCAACAACACACAAACGCAGGTAATACATAGCCTGAATATAATAAACTTTAACGGTATACTCAATAGGGAAAACACTAATGATCGAAAACTCAGGGTATGCTTCTCAGTCCTGACGGCAGTCTCAGAACTACTAACTCCTTAAATTAGTAGTCTAAGGGATTTTGAGCCCTCAATTTAGAGTCAAATTTATGACCTTCTTTAAATTAAGCACTTTAAAGCAATAGCTTCCACAGTAGCTTAATCTGGAGAGGGAGGGAACAGGAAAGGGAAAAGAGAGATTTTTCTCACCAATTGTGGGATCATGGTCCTCTGGAAATCGGTGACTGATAAACTGCATGGTCATGGCTGGAAACAAAAATTGGAGACTCTTACAGTCTTGGCAAACATCCACCACCTCATCGTTCAGTTCACAACACATTTAGGCACGTTATTTCACTAACAGCTAAAACATAAAGCTGACAGAGAAAAAAAACAGACTGAGCCCGAGACTGGAAAGAAACGTAACAGATGAAGCGCCGCTCAGAAACAACCGAGAACCATGCCCTCGACCACAGCGCCGCAAGTTTCCAGAAACAAAGCTGGAAACGCGGAAGATGATGACACAACCGCACGCTGGAGCCACCCCCGGGGCACCGGAACAGCGCGCCAACCCGAGCTGCTCTGCTGACGAACGCTGCTTCTCCTCAGCGCTCCTGCCCCCGGGCTGCCTGCTGGACGCAGCTGAGGCACAAGCGGCGGCACCGGCGGGAGCGGCAGCAGGACCGTCCCGCCCAGCCGGGTCTAACGGCC